TGAACTACAGCCCTGAAAATGGAAAGGAATATTAGAATTAAAACAAACAAAAAAAAATACAACTGTAACCATGTCACCTACACCACAATAAATTTTTCAAAATAAGAAAATTAGGTTAAGAACTGAGTATCAGTTAAGATAGGTCAGAGAAAGGGGACACATAAGACCATCTTCAGAAGGAAATCACAGATTTAGAATCTTAAGACAGCTCACCTAAGTTTTCGTATTTTGAGTCATATTTTTTCTATTACAATAAGTAGAGAGGGCAACACTTGGTACTGGTATAGGGAATGAAGCAGCACAGATTAAACCCAGGGCTTTTCTCTGAGGTCTTGTCTGTTTTGGAGCTACACTCATCAGTGGTCAGGACTTACTCCTGCGCTCTGGGCTCAGGAGCAACCATCTTGAGTGTCACCGCATATAAGGCAGCACCATATCGCTTCAGCCCCTCACTAGCTCTCACGCTTTTAAAACGCTTTTTAAATGTTCCATTTATCTAAAAGATACTCCTGACATTTCTGTTACACATCAGATTGGTAGCATTCTACAAATGGCAGCACTTTAAAATTCTAGAACATCTTCATTCTACATACTTTTTACAATTTGTTTTTAGGAGAAAACACTAATTCATTTAGAGAGAGATACTTCGTATATCAGGGAAGGAATACTATTAAGTGCACTTACTTTCACCTAGGGTTCACCTATCTTTAGAGTCTTGATATTATGCCATAATAGGAGCTTATGCTGCTTCCAGCAGATTTTCCACAGGTTACATAAAACAATTCACTGTACTGATCTTGCTGGAGTGACTTCAGATCAAGACAAAACACTGAACAACAATCACCACCAAATGTAAGCATGTGTCTAAAAAAATGTGTTTAGCCTTACGTAAAGCAATGTGCTGGAAGGAATTACAACTTTTTTAAACTTGTTTCCTAACCTATCAATGGGAATGTTTTGAATTATCACTCGAGTTTTGAAGTCATTGTACACTGTTGATCAGTACCTAGCATATATCAAGACCTGCATGTCAGTGTCATTCCCTCCCTTTTCTAAGTAACAGATAAATGTCAAGTAACAAAGAAAACTTGGGTTTCCGTGATAAGGTGGGCGCTTAATATGTAGGAGGCAATGGGTTGAACCTGAGCACGACCACCACCACCCCCGCCAAAAAAAAAAAAAAAAAAAGGAGTAGGAAAAATGGAAAGATAGATTACATAGAGCAAAAAGCAAAGCTAAGAAGTCTAAGAAAAGAAAAAGCTAAGAAAGCTAATGAGCATCAGGCAGGTCACTCTCAAGGAGCTGGAGCACACTTTTTTTTTTTCTTTGGCATAACAGAAGGCTGGAGCGATAGCACAGCGGTAGGGCATCTGGCAACATGGCCGACCCGAGTTCGATTCCTCCGCCCCTCTCGGAGAGCCCGGCAAACTACCGAGAGTATCTCGCCCGCACGGCAGAGCCTGGCAAGCTACCCGTGATGTGTCCGATATGCCAAACACAGTAACAAGTCTCATGATGGAGACGTTACTGGGCCCGCTCGAGCAAATCGATGAACAACGGGAGGACCGTGCATAGGAGAAGCCAGGTTTGATCCCTGCAAAACCAGAGTAACTCCCAAGCCCTGCACTGGGAAGAAACTGATGAAAGAAGAGCATAAGCAGAAGACTGAAGACAAAGAACAGATGGTAAAGCAGAAATTAATTAGTCTCCACAAAATGAAAAATCTTCATACCATAATTTCAATGAATTATTTCAAATGTGTATTTTTTTTAAAACATCTACACTCGGGTTGGACAAACAGAATAGGGAATAAGGCAAATAATTCCCTTGCATGCAGTGGCCCCCAATTCGATCCTCGTACCAAAGGGCACTCTCAGCACCCTCAGGTGTAACCCCCTGAGCAGAGTCAACAGTAGCTGGCTGTGGCTACACCAGGTATGGCCCAAACAACCCCTTCTAAAACTATGTACCTATACTTATATATCATTAATACACAAACCCCAAGCAGGACAGCAAAAGTTAACACTACTGTTTTCTTACAACATAATAAATGGTCTACGTATTAGATTTATATACTACAGGTCTAAAATAATATCGGTCAATACACAAGCATCCTTTTAATTATCCATTCAACAAATATTAAATCTACTTGTGCTATGCTGAGCATAAGGAATGTATTGACGTCAAGAAAGGTTAATTGTCTTATGGAGTTCACAAACCAGTAGTGAGTCTATTCTCTAAGCAACACAGAGCACCTACTATAACTACTAAATTCTGAAAGTAAATAATTTTTGCAATAAACTGGGCAACTGAATTCAGTCACTTGTTCCAAAATAGTAACAGGGCACTATATTAGAAATTCTTTTTCTTCTAAAAATTTTATTTTTTGCTTTTTGGGCCACACCTGGTGGTGCTCAAGGTTTTGTATTCAAAACCTGGTTCTGCACTCAGGAATACTGGCAACACACAGGGGACCACACTGGATGCTCAGGATCAAACCCACGTCAGCCACTTGCAAGGAAAGAACCAGACCTGCTGTAGTCTCTGGCCATCAAAAACCTTTTCCAATCAACTATTAATTAACTAGCTGCAAATTAATTTTAAAAGTCTAAAACACTCTTAAGAAAAATGAGTTTGCTGGACTAGAGAAGAAAAGATCCAAAACATGGCAAGTGCCTTTACAGTTTAAAGAGTAAAACTTTGTTCTGTACCATTCCAAAAGATTTTAATTTGTGGTAAGCAGTATGTTACATGGATGCATACTCCTGTTTCAATATGAAGAATTCTGATTTTCCAAGTTACATTTCTATGATATTATTTCTGTAGTTTACAAAATATTTTCATTCACTCTTCAAAAAATAACACTTTTAGAAAAATTTCTCTGGTAGTTTTGTAAACTTGTTCTCCAAGAATTTTGCTAAGACAACTGGACAAACCAATCTTAGAATCCAAGAACCAAATCTAAGGGAACAAACAGACCATCTCAATATTTCATCTTCTTACCTCTAAATGTAGTAAGGTATACATCAAATGGCCAGCTACCAGAAAGATTGGCCGAGATATTCTAAAGCTTCTTCCACAACCAACCCTTTACTTGTGGTCAATATAAATATCCAAAAAGATAGAGCTATAAAGAGGTCTTTTAGAAATAAGCTTCATAAGACTTTTGTCGTTCCTCAAAGACAAATTACAACTTCTGGAAAGGTATCTCGCAATATGATGTGCTCAATAAGAATCTGTTAAATATAAATAATCCGAACCACTCATACAACCACATATAAAACACACCGCACTACATCCATCATACAATAAAAAAATTATAAAGAAAGCAGCTACCCAACGGTCTGATAAGCCACAAGATTGTTAAAAATCGCATCATACACTTAAAATGGACATTCCGCAATCCTGAAACTTAACTTAATCTGTTTCTAACAAACTGAACTGCAAAAAATGCGACTCTTTGGGCTAATAGAAAATATTTTGACTAAAAGTAGAAGACACGGCCCTACAAATTTTAAAGGCCAGGTTTCTAAATTGAATTTTCAATGTTAACAAACTTTGCTTAAGGCTTAAAGCATCATGTTAAGTATACTTGAACAGCTAAGAATGAGATGTGCAGAGCCATTTGGTTAGGAAGACAAAATCTCTACTCAAGTCACATCTTTACATACATTTAGAAGTTATCACTTAAAAAAGGCCAGCTGATTTTACAGGTATATTCAGTACTGAAATTCACTCTTAATTCTAAGCATTGCTCAGAACTCATTTATAAGATTACTGAAAGTTAAAGTGAAGAGGAAAAGCAAGCGATGCAAACATTTTGTAATACTGAACAGCCTAGAATTCTCAGACATTTCCAGGAATGTAAGAGAAATGTAAACTAATTAGAAGTTAACTTCATTTCCATTTCCTTAATGGGTAGGTAAGATGGAAACAATTGCACACAGGTGTTTGGAAGATAGTGTTGTATAACAAGCAAAGCCAGACAGCTACATAAAAGATTTACTTCAATTTCACTAGATTTAAATAACACCTTTTAGAGATTTTTTGAAAGATCTCGTCAACCTTAAGGAGAACAGGCTTATAATTCTCAATGCAGCAAGACACTCTCCGGGTTACAATGGATTTCACCAACCAGAGTATATATTGCACACGCAGGAACATAGAAACCAATCTTGACATTTTTCAATACTGACTTTGAAAGATGTAAACAGAAGCATCCAACACAGTTAAAAATCACAAAACACAAAGCTTCCTAATCTTCAGAATTCAGAACTAAGAGCTTCAACACAAGTGCCACCAGAAGTGCCACACACACACACACACACACACACACACACACACACACACCAGCCTCCTTAAGAGAATAAGCGGCACAGAAAGGCTGCCTGATAATCACTGGAAACATTTGCAATCCACACCGAACTCTGACATCAGCACTTGATTCCCACTCTTCCTTACAGAATTCAGCCCCTAAACACTAGTCAGTTCCTAATTTCCAAAAGGGAAAGCTCTTTAATTGGGGCGAATTTCCAAAATTATGACAACAACTTCTAGTTTCTACCCAAACTCATGTTGGTGAAAGAGGGGGAGGGAAGAGGAGGGGAAAAGGGGTGGTGGGACGAGAGAAGGGAGAGGGAGGGGGAGAGGGAGAGGGGGAGAGGGAGAGGGAGAGGGAAAGGACAGCTGAGGGAGGGTCTGGGAGGGAGGAAAAGAGGGGGTGGTCTGAGAAGGGAGAGAGTAGGGAAGGAAGGGCCCGGGCGAGGAAGAGAAAGGAGAGGGGGAGAGGAGGGAGGAGAGGAAGGGAGAAGAGGGAGGGCGGGCCCAGGGGAAGGGAAAGTAAGGTAGGGGAGGAAAAGTGAGGGGGGGTGGAGGGGAGGAAAGGAGAGAGAAAGGGAGGAGGCGGCCGGGCCTGGGGGAGGGGGAGGAGGAGGAGGAGGGGAAAGGGGCGGAAAGGCGGGGGGGGGGGGGGGGGGGAGCGCGCCGCGGCCGAGCCTCACCTGAGCACGGGGCTGTAGGGGCTCCGGGAGCGGCGCCAGCTGCTGCTGCTGTAGGGGCTGGGGGACACGTCCCCGCCACGCTCGTACGAGCTGTGGCGGCTGTAGCTGGGCGAGCGGCGGCGGCCGTAGGGGCTGGGCGAGCGCGCCGCGCGCCGCGAGTAGGGGCTGCCGCCCGCCGGGCTGGGCGACTTGCGGCCCCGCAGGCCCTGCGAGGCGCGGTGCGACACGGGGCTGTCGTCGCGGCCGCCCGGCGGGCTGGGCGAGCGCGGCCGCCGCCGGTAGGCCTTGGGCTCGCTCTTGTCCTCGCGGTAGGCCTTGGGCGGCTCCTTGTAGGCCGACGGCGGCTCCTTGGCCTTAGTCCGGCTGCGGTGCGCCTTGAGCTCGCGGTCGCGCCGGCCGCCGCTGCTGCTGGACGTGGCCGACGCGCTCTTGCGGCGGCCGCCGCTGCTGCTGCTGCTGCCGCTCTTGGCCGCGTCGCCGCGCTCGTCGGCGCCGTGGCGCCCGCGGCCCGCCGCCTCGCCGCGCTGCGCGTCCCGCCGCCGGTGCTCGCGGTGGCGCTCCTTGCTGCGGCCGCTGCTGCCGCGCCGCTCCCGCCGGGGCCGGCGCTCCGGGCCGTCCCCGCGCCTCTGGGCGCCCGCCGGCGAGGCCGGGCTCCCCGCGCCGGCGCCGGCGCCGCCGCCGCCGCCGCCGCCGCTGCCACCGCCGCCCGTTCCCCCGGCAGCCGTCGCCGCCGCGGCCGCGCTGGCGCCCCCCAGCAGCAGCCCCTGCTCGGACTGGGAGCTCACGTCCTCGTACTCCACCAGCGGGGTCACACCCCCGCCGCTACTGGCGCCGCCGCCGCCGCCGTCCTGCTGCGGCTGCGGCAGCGAGAAGACGCGGCGCTTCTCCGCCTCCTGCCCGGCACGGGGCCCGCGGCGCCGCTTCTGCCGCCCTCCCGGGCGCCTCTTGCCTCTCGCCAGCCGCTTGACCTCCAGCGGGGGGCCGGGGCTGAAGCAGGAGGAGGAGGCCGCGGCGGCGGCGGCTGCGGCGGCGGCCGTGCCGGGCGCAGCCAGGAAGAGCAGAGGCGGCGGGGGCGGCGGCGGTTGCAGGAGCTGCGGCTGCAGGAGCGGCAGCAGCAGCGGCGGCTGCTGAGGGGACAGGAACCGCCGGCGCTTGCGGCGCTCCTCCAACTTCTTCTCCGCCCAGCTCAGGCCCCCGCCTCCCCCCAGCGCCGTGTCCGAGCTGCTCGGCATCGCCCAGAGCCCGCCGCGGAGCGCGGCGCGGGTGCGGCCTGCGGCCGGCCGTCAGAGCCCGGCCATGGCGGCGGCGACGGCGAAACGGCAGCGCGGCGACCAGCGAGCACCGGGGCGGGCCGGGCCGCGGCGGCGGCCTCCGAACCTGAGGCGGGCCGGGGTCCGGCCGGCGCGGCGCCCGATCGCCGCTCGGCGTCCTCGCGGCGAGTCCTCCAAGTGCCCCCGGCGGCGGGCAGCGGCCTCGGCCCGCGCTCGGCCCGGGCGGCGCAACGCGGAAGTGGCGGCCGCTTCACTCCATGGCGCCCTGACGTGCGGCCGGCCGGGCGACGTCGTCCTCTGCTCCCGGGCTGACAACAGCTCCCCGCCGCGGGCCTCGCGCTCCCGGCGGCCCGCAGGGACGGGCGGGGCGGGGCGAGGCGGCGGCCGCCGGGCTGCGGCGCTCCGCCGGGGCGGCGGGCGTGCGGGGCAGAGCGGGGGGCTGCTTCCGGGCCGCGGGGGGCGTTTCTGCGTCGGCGCCGGGGGACGGGCCCTGACTCGCTTCTCCCTCGGCCGCCACCGCCGCGGCGGAGGTGGCGGAGCTGCCGCTTCCCCGCGTCGCCCCCTCCACGAGGAGGCTCTCGGCGTGCGCGGCGGCGGCTCGCTCCTCCCCTTCCCGCGGCGGCCGCGGCGGCGAGGGCGGCCGGCCCTGGGGTTGGGCCCTAACCTCCACAACCCCTCCTTCTCGACCCGCTCGGCGGCCTTGCCCCTCGCCCGGACGCAAGGGCGGGCGCGCGCGCGCACGCGCCGAGGAGCCCGCCGCTGAGTGGCGGCCGCGACCCCGGAGGCGGGACCGGGGCTGCCGCGCGCCTGCGGGCTCGCTCCCGCCGGCCGGGGGCGGGCCTGCCCGGAAGTGGCGTCACGCGGCCGCCTCCCTGCTTCCGGGCAGGGTGGGTCCGTGCAGGCCGGGGTTAAAGAAAGGAGAGGCCCGGGGCGCCGCCTTCCGCGGCCGCCTCGGCGCCCGCTCGCGGAGCTGCGGCTCGCGTCCGGCTCCGCCGGCCCGCCTGCCCGGACGGCGTCGGCGGCAGCCGGAACCTGAAGACGGGAGCGCCGGGGCGGCCTCGGCCGAGAGCGCTAGGCGGCCGGCGTCGGAGCGGGCCCCGTCTGCGCGCAGGGGAATGACACGGCCGTGACCCTGCCGCAGTCGGTTTCAAAAATAAAACTAAAACCGGGCTGGGCGTGAAAGAACCGAAAGGCGAGGGCCCGGGCCCGGGCTCTCCCTGTTTCCACCCCTAGCATCAGAGTTTTGCAGGGGTGCAGGTGTCGCCTGCGTCCTCTCGTCCCCTCTCCGCCTGGCCGGACCGGTCCCTGCTCCCGCCTGGACGTTGGGGTCCTTAGGGGTCTGAGTGGACGTGGGTGACTGCTCTTCTTGTTGAACAGCAGCCTTGCGTTCCGGCGGCGTGTAGTTGGCCCTTTGCTAGGGGATTCATTGTGGCCGGTGATTTTATGCTGCTGGTAGCTTTCCACTGCTGCGCCTTCATGTAAAGAATTTTGATAGACCTGGACACAGCCCCTCACCCTGTGTCCCAGGCGGAGCTGAACTAAGATCAGAGTTCACTGAACGGTAAAGGGTGTTTGCTTGAGAGAAGGCTGTGTAACTGGGGACCCTTGGAGGCGGGGCAGGTTCAATCCCGCAGCAGCTTGTGTAGGTGGGGTGGGGGGTGGGGGACGCAACCGCAGAAGGGCCGGACTCCTGCGTTTTTCACGTGTTAACATGTTGTGTTAAGGCCCTGCTGATAAAGGCCAAGTGGCTTTTCCAAAAAAACAGGATCAACCTCTCCATCACTCACCTCTGAAACGTCTGGCATAACCGAGTACGGAGAGCAAAATTAGACATTTAATTAGCAGTTCCTCATTCTCTAACCAATTCCACTTGAGAGGGACATCTTTGCTGTCTCCTACATAGAAAATTTGATTTTCTGATATTTTGTGTTTCGGCCGTTCCCCGCGGGTGCTCAGGGCTTACCCCTGGCTCTGCCCTGAGATTACTCCCTGCAGGCTCAGAAGACCATAGCCGGTTCCGGGGATCGCACCCCAGCCGGCTGCATGCAAGGCAAGTGTCCTCCCCACTGTACTATCACTGGCTCCTGTCGGTCTTAGATTCTTTTGTTTTGGGGTCACACCTGAGCGGTTCTTGGACCTTATTCTTGGCACTGTGCTCAGAGATCACTCATGGAAAGGACTCCGGGGACCATATATGGTCCCCGGCATCTAACCTGGGTTGGTTGTGTGCAAGGCAAACACTGTACTGTTTCTTACTCTTTCAAGAATGTATGGCGGAGGAGCTGGAGAGGCAGTAGAGTGGGTAAACTCCCTGCATGCAAGTGGGAGGTACCTCTATCCCAAGTCCCTGAGCTAAGAGCCATAACTACGCCCAGGTATGACACCAAAACAAGTACGATGCAGTTTTCCAAGAGTCAACTTGACACATTATGACATCATTATTCCGATGGCTAAACCAATGTGTGCTTGTGTGTACATATGTTTCGTACAATGTTCAAAAGGATTAGGTTTCTGAAGTATGTGAATATTTGCACAACTTTGTGAAACAATATTTTTCAAATAGCAAGTGGATGTTAAATCTTTCACTCAAGATTTAAGACGGAATGTAGTAATGGATTCTACTGTCAAAATGCGAAAAAGTGAAGCTGAAGCAATAGTAGAGCAGGCAAGGCATTTGTCTTGAATGCAGCCAACCTGAATTCAATTCCACTTAACAACTCTTTCTGTTTGGTTGGTTTTTTTTTTTTTTTTTGGTGCTGCTGGATGAGGGGCGGAGGGGAGATCTATGAGCCACACCTGCCAGTACTCAAAACTACTCCTAGATCTGTGCTCAGGGGTCACTACTGGCAGTGCTGGAAGAACCACATGTAGTACCAAAAGTTATAGCAGAGTGTTTCATATGCAAAGGAAGTTCCTTAACTCCTTCATCTCTCCAGCCTCAATAATTGTTGAGAATCTACCTTAGATTTCGGTGTGGAGACAATAATCAAAACTGTAGGGAAACTCATTTTTCCAACAACATATTGTTACATTGTTATGTATTTCTCCCAAATCAATATTTTGCAACATACAAATAAAATATTCAAGCAAATGACTATAAAAGAAAAAGCACCACTGGAAAAAAAATGGAATTTTTTTTAACTCAATACCAAAAATTAGTGGCTAGTTCTTGCTGAGAGCATTTGTCAGGTTATGTACTAAGTGCTTTATATTTATGTTCTCATTTAATCCTCTCAATGTTGCCTAGAAGTCGGATGATCATAATCCTAGGTTTCTAGTGGTGGGCCTATATTATGCTGCTTGTTCAAACATAATTGTTAATGGTGTCCCCTTTCCAATACATAAATCCTAGTTCGGACATAAAAGACCTGATTTCTCTACCTGCTAAACTTTTTATTCACTGTTTACCAGTGAGGAAAGTGGGGCACAGAGACTGAATTCTTACCTAAAGTACACTGCTAGTAAATGTAGCTCTGGAATGCTTACCTAGGTCTGTCTAGCTTTGTGGGCCAGGCTTGTAAGAATTTTTGGTTGGGCCACTCCCAGTGGTGCTCTGGGTTTACTCCTGGCTCTGGGTTTACTCCTGGTTCTGACTCAGGAATCACTCCTGCTGGGCACAGGGTATCATATGGGATGTCAGAGATCAAACCCAGATTGACTGCATGCAAAACAAGCACACTACCCTCTGTACTATTGCTCTGGCCCCACAAATTACAAGATTTTCCACAGTGGCCCCAGTGCTCCTGAGATTTTATTTTCAGTTCAATTACAGTAATATATTCCAGAAGTAAATAACAATTTATGGTAAAATGTCAAGATCAATTTTACTTAATAAAACTGTTGTTTTGTTTTGGGGCCACTTTGGGCAGTACTCAGGATTTACTCCTGGCTTTGAGTTCAGGGATCACTCCTAGAAGACAACATGGGGTGCCAGGAATCCACCCTGGGTGAACCAATGTGCAAGGCAAGCACCTTTGTACTATTGCTCCAGCCCCTCACTAGCAATACTCTGAAATGAGAGGTACCTAAGAAGAAAGCTCAGTGATTTAAAACCCTTGTCCTTCAAGCACTAATCTGCCAGTTTAAATCTGGTACCTTTTGAAGTGCAGAAGCCTCTTTTTTTATTTATTTTTTTATTTTTATTAGTGAAACACCATGAGGTACAGTTGTAGACTTACAAATTTTTGTGCTTAGGTTTCAATTATACAATGATCAAATACCCATCCCTCTACCAGTGCCCATTTTCCACCACCATGGATCCCAGTATCCCTCCCATCCCCATCCCCCCATCCCACCCTGCCTCTGTGGCAGGACATTCCCTTTTGTTCTCTCTCTCCTTTTGGGTATTGTGGTCTGCAAAAGAGGCATTGAGTGGCAGTCATGTTCGGTCCATAGTCTACTTTCAGCATGCATCTCCCATCCTGGGAGGATCCTCCAAACACCCTTTATTTGGTGCTCCCTTCTCTATCTGAGCTGCCCTTTCCCCTAGAATGCCCGGCTGGCCTCTAAGACATGGAGTAATCCTCCTGGTACTGATCTCGGCTATTCTTGGGTATTAATCTCCTATTTTGTTACTTTATGTTCCCCAGATGAATGCAATCTTTTTATATCTATCCCTCTCTTTCTGACTCATTTCGCTTAGCATGATACTTTCCATATTGTACCACTTGTATGTCAATTTCATGACTTCATCTTTTCTAACAGCTACATAGTATTCCATTGTGTAGATGTACCAAAGTTTCTTTAACCAGTCATCTGTTCTTGGGCACTCAGGTTTTTTCCAGATTATGCCTATTGAAAAGAGTGCTGCAATGAACAAACAAGTGCAGATGTCACTTTGACTATACATTTTTGCCTCTCTGGGATATATTCCCAGGAGTGGTATTGCTGGGTCAGATGGGAGTTCAATTTCTAATTTTTTGAGAATCGCCCATACTGTTTTCCAAAAGGGCTGAACCAGTCGGCATTCCCACCAGCAGTGAAGGAGGGTCCCTTTCTCACCACATCCACACCAGCATCGGTTGCTTTTGTTCTTTTGGATGTGGGCCAGTCTCTGAGGTGTGAGATGGTATCTCATTGTGGT